CAGAACTTCAGCTCTGAGATCCTGGCTGCCTGAAAGCAGGTTTCTGGGGTTTTGTTTAACTTCTATATTTGTAACAATGTTTCAAACTGCAGGCTCAAAGGCCTGCAGCGGCAGGCAGGGAACGTTGGTCCGTCACTGAGGCAAGCAAGCCTCATGTTAGTTTCTGGCTGCCTGGCTGCCAGCTGCCATCTTGGCTGACAGTTAATTTGCATATCTCGCTGATTAGCCAATGAAAAGGGTAGCAGTCGTATGCCAATTACCATGTTTCTCTTTTATTAGTGTAGATAGCTCTTGCTGCTATATCATTAAGGCTCATAATATTAGCCCTGGCCAGGTAGCTCACTTGGCTAAAGTGTTGTCCCAATATGCCAAGATTGCAGGTTTAATCCCCAGTTGGGGCACATACAAGAACCAACCAATTAATGCATACATAAATGGAATAACATATTTATGTTTCTCTCTCTCTCTCTCTCTCTCTCTCTCTCTCTCTCTCTCTCTCTGTAAAAATCAATTTAAACGTGGAAGGAGGGCGAGAAGAGACTAATCAAAGAATTTATATGCATATATGCATTGCCCATGGACACAGACAATAGACAGGTAAAGGCCTGGGGTGGGGTGGGAGGCGGGTGGAGGAAGGTGAAGGAGGGAAAATGGAGACATCTGTAATACTTTCAACAATAAGGTAAATTTTAAAAAAGTTTTTACAAAAGGTAAGTAGAAATTTTTTAAGTTAATTTAAAATAAATTACTATGCAGCATGAAAAAGATAACAGAGAGCCTCATATATTGATATTGAAAGTAGTTAATATATATTGTTAAATAAAAAAAGCAGGTCATCAAGCAGTATAAAAAAGTCAGTTAAAAAAAAGGACTCCTGATATTTTCCTATGAGGTTTAGAGCAGTTGAGATTTAAACGAGATCTATATGATTCCAAAGCCAATGCTTTTTCTAATACATTAGTGCAGGATGTACATATATTGAGAAGAAAGAACATCAAAAACTAAATGTTCTATTTAAACCTGTAGTTGCTGCTCAGAAAATAAAAGATGCAGAACCAAAGTTAGTGGTTTGTTTTTCTTCATGCAAGAGCAGTGAACTAAAGGAGAGCAGTGTATGTTTTCTCTTGTTTCTGATGGGAAATTGTAAACACACACACTGACACACACAAGTCCTTATATTGATTTTGGAGATAAAAATTTTACAAAGATTTTATTCATGACTGAAATTATTAAAAGATATGAACTAAAAGTATGACAAAGCAGAAAAGGAAACAAAAACCAGTGGGCATGGGTTTTCATGATGTTGTTAAAAGCAAAACACCCTTCAAAACTTCTCTGTGTGACACTTCAAAGCTCTTCTAAGCTTTGCATATTCTTTTCATACTAGTTTAAATGTGTGTTTCCTCCTGTAGAAGATGAGAGCTATGTAGACTTGAGAGGTGCTAGAGTTTCCCTCACACAGCCCACACTTTGACATTTCTCCTTCCTCCTAATGATAAAATATTTGCCTTCAGTTTACCTACTACTTTTTAAAAGATCTACCACTGGAAGTTATTGGGGTAGAGAGGTATTTCTATTTTAATTTGATTTATCTGTATAAGATTATGATAGAAATTTAATTTTATAATTCTACTAGTATATACCAGATAACAAAAAAATACGATAAATTTGCTGTAAAGATTTTCAAAATTAATTTTGAACCTTTTTCTTTTTTCAGAAGCTGGGTTGGTCAGTGACTTTGTTGAAGGCTGAGAGTTGAAATGAATTTGCAGATGACACACAATTTCTAAGGTAAGCTAATACGGTAGTTCAATCAAGATTGTAAGTGCTCTTGACAGACATGTAGACTATAGTAACACACTAAAATAAAATGTATCAAGAATAAATATAATACCGATTTAAGTTTTACAAAACAATTGCAGAAGTATTAAATAGACTTCCATTTCTGACAATATGATAGGCTACAGATCACCAAATCTGTAAACTACTGACTCAGTTGATTCAATATTTTAAAAACACTTTATAATAAATAGATGAACATATAAGAAAATAAGGGAAACTTTCTGGGGCTAGAAACAAAACAAGTACATTCTTTACATTCTGTGAGGTAAGCAAGTGCTAAAGTCACTGAATACTTTGGGAGTACCCATGGATTTCTGTTGGCATAGAAACTTGTACCTGGAGAGAAATGGGGACTGGTGAAAATTCCTTAGATTCTATAAAGTGTAGGGGGCCTGATCAGAGACCGTTTTGGAGAAGTGTACAGCCCTAGATAGAGTTAAAAGCTCCCTAAAAATTCCTGGTTACCAGCTCACACTAAGTAGAGTTTTAATTTAAATTGGACTTGGGTCTGTAATGCTCTTTGGTACCTGACAGGAATTATCACAAATTAGAATTACAATAGGTTCGCAATACTTTTTAGCATCCTATAACACAGGGTGGGGCGAAAATAGGTTTACAGTTGTGAGTACGGGAAAACGCAGTTTATTCTTGTATTACTATTTATTAATTATTGTATTCTTTTCCATATGAATAATTGGAAGCCTACTGTTTCCTCACCCTGTATATATATACATATACATGTATTTTATGATGTAAAAGTAATAGTCATTTCTGCAATAAAACTTGTTTTGAAAACAGAAATTTGTTCTAACATGATTAATATGTTAGGGAACAGGATGAGCGTAATGTAGATTTCTCATTTGCCCTTGTGCAGTTTCATTCATGAGAAACACTACATGAATGCAGAAAACCATCCAATTGAACCAAGCCACAAGGAATACACAAAATACACATATGCACACACCTACAACACCTACTAGCCATCTCATTGTACCACATATTAAATGTTACATCCATCCATATTTGATGTTAAAACTTTCCAGCTGATTTCAGATAACCCTATTTCTACTGTTTCAAAATAACACACAAGCTACAACTCTTCTAATACCCACTTTCACAAGCCTTAGGAATACCCTAATTAAGTTGATAACAATGTACCTACCTATATAGTTTAAGTTTAAAAAATTTGGCTCTCAAAAGAAATTTCAATCGTTGTACTGTTGATATTTGGTTCTGTTGACTAATGAGTTTGCCGACCACTGGTGTAGTGTGTCATTAAAGGCCAATATTTCTTTAATGATTTTCTGTCTCGATGATCTATTTAGAGCTGTCCATGGAGTATTAAGGTCCCCAACTATGATTGTATTTTAATCTGTTTCTCCCTTTAGTTCTGTGAGTAGTTTTATATATATATATATATATACATGTATATAATTGTTTAAAGTATTACAAGTAGTAGTACATATGTCTCCTTTTTTCTCCCTTTGACTTCCCGCCAGCACATGCCCTCACCTCCCCACCCCCAGTGTCTGTGTCCATTGGTTATCCTTATATGCATGCATACAAGTCCTTTGGTTGATCTCTTACCCCTCCCACCCACACCCCTACCCCTGCCTTTCCACTGTATTTTGACAGTCTGTTCAATGCTTCTTTGTCTCTGTATCTATTTCTGTTCATCAGTTTATGATGTTCATTATATTCCATGAATGAGTAAAATCATGTGATACTTATCTTTCTCTGATTGGCTTATTTTGCTTAGCATAATGCTCTCCAGTTCCATCCATGCTGTTGCAAATAGTAAGAGTTCCTTCTTTTTTACAGCAGCATAGTATTCCATTTTGTGCATGTAACACAGTTTTCTAATCCACTCATCTACTGATGGGCATTTAGGCTGTTTCCAAATCTTAGCTATTGTAAATTGTGCTGCTATGAATATAGGGGTGCATATATCTTTTCTGATTGGTGTTTCTGTTTTCTTGGGATATATTCCTAGAAGTGGGATCACTGGGTCAAATGGGAGTTGCAGTTTTAGTTTTTTGAGGAAACACCATACTGTTCTCCACAGTGACTGCATCAGTCTGCATTCCCACCAGCAGTGCAAGAGGTTTATTTTTTCTCCACATACTTGCCAGCACTTGTTGCTTATTGATTTGTTGATGATAGCCATTCTGACAGATGTGAGATGGTACATCATTGTTGTTTTGAGTTGCATCTCTCAGATGATTAGTGACTTTGAACATGCTTTCATATGTCTCTTGGCCTTCCTTATGTCTTCTTTCAAAAAGTATCTATTTAGGGCCATTGTCCATTTTTTGATCGAGTTGTTTATCTTCCTTTTGTTAAGTTGTATGAGTTCCCTGTAAATGTGGAGATTAAACCCTTATTGGTGATAACATTGGCAAATATGTTCTCCCATGCAGTGGGCTTTCTTGTTGTTTTGTTGATGGTTTCTTTTGTTGAACAGAACCTTTTTATTTTGATGTAGTAAAAACCACATAGTCATATCAATTGATGCAGAAAAAGCATTTGACAGAATCCAACACCCTTTCTTGATAAAAACCCTCAGCAATGTGACAGTACAGGGATCATACCGCAACATAATACTCAATGGGCAAAAACTAAAACTATTTCCCTTAAAAACAGGAACAAGACAGGGATGCCCCCTCTCACCACTCCTGTTCAACATAGTTGTGGAACTGCTAGCCATAGCAAGTAGACAAGAAGAAGAAATAAAAGGCATCCAAATTGGAAAAGAAGACGTAAAACTGTCCTTATTTGCAGATGACATATTACTATACATAGAAAACCCTGAAAACTCTATCAAAAAATTACTAGACTTACTAAATGAATTCAGCAATGTAGCAGGATACAAAATTAACGCCAAGAAATCTATGGCATTTTTATACACCAATAGTGAACTTACAGAAAGCGAGATTAAAAAAACAATTCCATTTACCATCGCACCAAAAAAAGTAAGATACCTAGGAATAAACTTAACTAAGAAGGTAAAAGACCTGTACTTGGAAAACTACAGGACATTGATAAAAGAGATAGAGGAAGACATTAACAGATGGAAGAACATAGCATGCTCATGGATTGGTAGAATCAACATCATTAAAATGTCCATACTACCCAAAACAATCTATAGATTCAATGCACTCCCCATTAAAATACCAATGGCATATTTCACAGACGTAAAATGAACTCTCCAAAAACTCATTTGGAAAAAAAAAAAAGACCCCGAATAGCTGCAGTGATCCTGAAAAGAAAAAAGTAGGTGGGATCTCAATACCAGATATCAAGCTGTATTACAAAGCCACTGTTCTCAAAACTGCCTGGTACTGTTCTCTATTCTATTCCATTGTGATATTTATCTTTCTCTGATTGGCTTATTTTGCTTAGCATAATGCTCTCCAGTTCCATCCATGCTGTTGCAAATAGTAAGAGTTCCTTCTTTTTTACAGCAGCATAGTATTCCATTTTGTGCACGTAACACAGTTTTCTAATCCACTCATCTACTGATGGGCATTTAGGCTGTTTCCAAATCTTAGCTCAATGGAATAGAATAGAGAACCCAGAAATCGACCCAAACCACTATGCTCAATTAATATTTGACAAAGGATGCAAGAAAATACAATGGGAATAAAGACAGTCTCTTCAATAAATGGTGCTGGGAAAATTGGACAGATACATGCAAAAAAATAAAAATCTCCAACTTACACTGTACACAAAAAATAAACTCAAAATGGATAAAGGACTTAAATATAAGACAGGAAACCATAAAAATATTAGAGGAATTCACAGGCAGCAAATTCTCAGACATATGCTGAAGCAATTTCTTCACTAATACAGCTCCTAGGGCAATGGAAACTAAAGAGAAAATAAACAAATGGGACTACATTTAAAAAGTATGGACATTTTAATGATGTTGATTCTACCAATCATGAACATGGCATATTCTTCCATTTGTTTATGTCTTCCTCTATCTCTTTTTTCAATGTCCTGTAATTTTCTGAGTACAGATCTTTTACCTCCTTGATTAAATTTATTCCTAGGTATTTAAAATTTTTTTTGTTGCAATGGTAAATGGTATTTTTTTTTAGTTTCTTTTACTGTGAGTTCATTATTGGTATATAAAAAAGCCATTGACTTCTGGGGGTTTATTTTATACCCTGCTACATTGCCAAATTCATTTAGTAAGTCTAATAGTTTTTTGATGGAGTCTTTAGTGTTTTTTATGTACAATATCATGTCATCTGTGAATTATGACAATTTCACTTCTTCTTTTCCAATTTGGATGCCTTTTTTTCCTTCTTCTTGTCTGATCGCCATTGCTAGTACATCCAGTACTATGTTGAACAGGAATGGTGAGAATGGGATCCCTGTCTTGTTTCTGTTCTTAGGGGAAATGATTCGTTTTTGCCCATTGAGTATTGATGTTGGCTGTAGGTTTGTCATATATGGCTTTTATTATGTTGAGGTATGATCCTTCTATTCCCACCTTGCTGAGAGTTTTTATCAAGAAAGGGTATTGGATTTTGTCAAATGCTTTTTCTGCATCAATGGATATGATTATATGGTTTTTATCTCTAAATTTGTTTATGTGGTATATCACATTTATTGATTTGTGGACATTGTACCATCCTTGCATCCACGGAATAAATCCCACTTGGTCATGGTGTATGATCTTTCTAATGTACTGCTGGATCCGATTTGCTAGAATTTTGTTGAGAATTTTGGCATCTATATTTATGAGGGATATTGGCCTATAATTCTCTTTCTTTGTATTGTCGTTATCTGGTTTTGGGATTAGGGTAATATTGGCTTTGTAGAGAGAGCTTGTAAGTGTTCCTTCCTCTTGAATTTTTTGGAATAGTCTGAGGAAGATAGGTTTTATTTCTTCTTTGAATATTTGATAAAACTTCCCTGTGAAGCCGTCTGGTCCAGGG